TCCCCCACCTGACCCAGCAAACCCTACATCCCTGTCATAGAGTTTTGCTGTCCTTAAGTGCTACCTCTTTTCCTGCCCACTTTTATCCCCCAGGCCACTCAGGAAGGCCATTTGAACCATGAGGACACCATGGCCCAGCAAGGGGGAGCTTCCCTCTGAGATCTGGGGGGTAAAGTGTGGGCAAGCGCCCCCGGTCAGGCCACCCACCCCTCCAGCCTCTCCCAGGACCCCCAGCACTAGTCTCTGTTGCCTTTCCCTGTCTTTCAGCAAACCCTTGAAATCACTTGAGGGTGGGGCGGGAAGGCCTATTCAGATCCTGTAACAGGGTGTCACTTCTTTCCTGCTCCCTCCAAGGGCTCAAGGAAAAGCTCCCAGAGGGAAGGACAGATCCGTGGAGTGCAGCAGAAGGGGACTCGCTTCAGCTTAATCTCGTCCGCCTACGCCAGAGATAGCCACAGGAAATCTGGTAAGGGAAGAGCCTTGGCCGGGAAGACTAGAGTTGCCCCCCATGACCCCCTCCTCTCAAAGGGGCCAAGAGTTCAAATCATTCCTAGGGCAAAGCATCCACAGCCCCCAAACACTGTGTGCAGAGTTCAGAGACCCACAGGAGGCGGTTCTTCAGGGATCACCTCAGGGTCATGCCCGGCAAGCTGGGTGACTCCTGAACAGGAGGCAGGGGTCTGTAGAGGTTCTGCCCACCCTGGGTGTTCTCAGGAAGCCAGCAGAACACCTCCCAGGTTCCTGGAGCCATTCTGGTGACATCAACCTCTGGAGTTCCAAGATGTTTAATTCATACGCTGTGACAAGGTCAATTACACCTGCTGGCCAGAAACCTGTCAAGTGCTGCTCACACCCGGGAACTGGCAGGCTTAGGTTGTGCCAGATCCTCAAATCCAAAGGCTTTGGGTTCGGATTCTGACCTTACCACTTTATAAGGAGCTCGGCACTACATATTCCTGGGCAAGTCACCCTGTCTCTGAGGGCCAGTTTCTCATCCGTAAAATGAGAACATCATCATGTTCTTGAGGATTTAGCAAAATGCTGCACCCAAAGCACCTCTCCTGGTGTAGAAGAGACACTCGATAGCTGTTAGTGGCTACTTTAAAATAAAAATTTTGCTAACATTTCAGGTGGGCTCTCCCATGGTGTTAGAAAAACAGATGCATTCCTTGGCCTCTTGGGACAGAGGTGTATGATAAAAGAGAAATCTGTACAGGATTCCAGTTAAACCAGGGGAAAGGTGGGCAGGAGCTTTAAAGCAGGAAATGACGGCTTTATATAGAAAATTATTCCTGTGATACCCAACAAAAAAATTCTTCTTTTTTTCCCTTTTATTTAATATACCGAAGTCATTGTAATCAAACACAGTAGTTATTTTCCTGTCAAATCTAAATGCAATTGTCTTTAAATGCAGTGTGGGATGGTGGGTTAGATTTGAGAACACTTCTTTAGCAGAAAAACTGGTGATAGCCCGAAAGAGTTCCATAATGTGCCAATGTTAATTTGTTAGTTTTGACACTTGTGCTGTGTGATTACATAAGATATTGCCATTTGGAGAGATTGGATGTTAACATTTAGGTGATGGAATTCATAATTGCTAGGTCATGGAAGAAGCCCAAGTGCCCATCGACCCACGAATGGATCAATAAATTGTGGTATATGTACACCAAGGAATATTATGCAGCCCTAAAGAAAGATAGAGACTTTGCCTCCTTCATGTTTACATGGATGGAGCTGGAAAATGTTCTTCTTAGCAAAGTATCACAAGAATGGAAGAAAAAGTATCCAATGTACACAGCCCTATTTTGAAACTAATTTATAGCTTTCATAGGAATGTTATAACCTAATTATAGCCTTAGAATATGGGAAGGGGGTGGGAGAGGGAAGGTGGGGGGGTGGGTTAGGGGTGGGAGGGTGATTGGTGGGGTCACCTCTATGGTTTATCCTACAAGGGTACAAGTGAATCTTTCTAAAAGCAGAGTATGAAAGTCTTAACTCAATAACTAAGAAAATGACATGATGACCACATTAACCAGTTTGATGAGAGTGTTTCAAAATGTATATGAAAACGCCACACTGTACCCCATGATTGCATTAATGTACACAGCTAAGATTTAATTTAAAAAAAAAAAAGCATTCAGGGCACGGGCGTGAATGGGCACAAAGCAACTCTATTTTCTTTGCAACTTTTTTGTAAATTCATAATAACCCCAAAATACAAAAAGTTTATTTAAAAAAAAAAAAACTAGATTGGTTTCTGCCCCATGGAAAGCTCCATACTTTCCCAAGTTCACTGTGAATCCCAGTGTCACATCTGCCTCTGAAGTCTTGGTCCTGCTGGGCCCTGGAGCTTCTGTACATCTTATTTCCAGTGGATTTTCTCTTTTCCCTGCTCTGGGTCAACCTAAACATAGACCCATTTCCTTGATTTCTCTCCAGACCTCTCACACAAAGCCTCTGTGTAAGCAAACTTTACTGGAAGTTTGAGGGCAAGAGAAGGTAAGGGTTCCAACACAGGATTATACAGCAAATTTGAGGCTGATTATGAGACCCCCTTTTCTTCAAAGTCCTTTCTCCTTTACCACCAGGACATTTTCCCTGGCTACACTTCCCTGCAGAGAGTTTCCTCCTGATAGTTTTCTCATTTCCGAGACTGGTACTAGAAAGAGACAAGCCAAGAACCCAGGGCACAAAATTCAAGAAGGTGCCCACTCTCAGATGCTGAGCCCGCCCTTGCAGGGACCTGGGAATGACAACCTCCCCAAATCTTGTCCCCCGGGCACCTCACTTCCCTCACCCCAGTCCTGTTCTCCCTCTTGTCCACTCTCTTTCCTCTTCCCTCCCTCCCACCTTTGCCTTCCTAAACCAACACATTCACCACTCGCTTTTTACTTAGAATTCTATTTCATTTTTCTTACTCTGCACTCAAGTAGCCTATCAAGATATTTCCCTAAACAAAGTCAGCTCCTCCCCTGAAAGAAACTCATACCAGCTGATTAAATAATGACTTTCATCTTATTGCTCAAAGATGCCAGCAGGGCAGGTTGGCTTGCCAGGCATCTGATCCCCCACAATCCACCTCTTCTCTCTATCATCCAAGACAACCCCCCCCCTGATCCAGAGGAGAGAAGCTGGGCCCCTCCTACTGCACTACAACCAATGGCCACTGGGGGCAGACAATAGGGCAGCCTAAGTACAACAGGTGCTTATACATCTAAGAACCACCTGGGGCATCCAGACATGTCACCTAGGACTGAGTCAGAGCTGAACCTGGGTCCAGTAAGGAGAGCTTCCTGTGCAGGCTGGCCTAAAATGAGCGGGCAGATCTTGGTTGGGAGACAAATTCAAGATAGTTATACATCCACACACAATGTTAGCTTGAATTGCCACAGGCACTGCTAACCCTGTGTATGTCCCATCTGTGCACCATCTCAGGGAATGGCACTGTCCCAATATAGCGGTCCAAGTTGGAATCCAGAGTCTACCCCATCACTGCCTCTCTCTTAAACACTTCATGACATAGTTCCAGGTCCTGTAAAGCTCCTACCTTTTGAATATGTTTAATCTCCTCTCCCTGTCCATTTCCAAAAGCACTATCTTAGCTTAAGGCTGACCCTCTTAGACTATAAGAATTTCCAACAGCTTCAGCCTCTATATCTGCCACACTGGCATTTCTAACTTGTTTGGGTCTTTAGAGTTAAACGGAGTTTCTTCATAACAACACAAAAGAAAATTAATGAAGAGACAGGTGCCCGCCTGTCCTCTCACTTGCATCAGCTCCCGGGGGAAGTTGGGCTGTCATCCTAATCTTCCGTCCTCTTCAATATCGGCTTGATATTGGCTTCATGTTTCTTGTGTTTGGGGGTTGTTGATATTCTTGGCTTATAGTTTTTATAAAATTTAGGAAATTTTTTGCCATTATTTTTTACATTTTATTTCACTCTTCCATTCTCTCCCCTTTCCTTCAGTCATGCCCTTTACACACTCAAATGTTCTACAACCCATTGGGTTTTTTAAAATCTTTCAGTCTTTTCTCTTTGTGCTTCATTTTGCATAGTTCCTGTTGCTCTGTCTTCAAGTTCAGCAATCTTTTCTTTTTCAAGAAAGTTGATCCCATCCAATGGAATTTCGTATCAAACATTGACATTTTCATCTCTATAACTCCTATTTGGATCATTTTTAATCTTTGGTATCTCTCCTTCATGTGCTCATGCCTTAGTGAGCATAATGGAATACATTTAAATCAATGTTTAGTTATCTGTGCTGGTGTCATTTTCTTTCTGAAATGTGTTGATTAGTGCTCAGCTGAGATGAGCCTTTGTATAACTCTGCAGCTCTCTGTGTGGCTTTTTCTCCTGTTATTCTAGCTGATTTGACCTACCCCAATTTTTGCTCTCTCTCCTTAACCCAGAGACTGCTAAGGTCTGCATCCTTGTGCTGGAATCTTGGAAGCATCTTCCACCTGTAAGCTGGGATGATCATGGGATTCAACTTGTTTCTTTTCCTTCCCTCAGAGGTCACTGCCCTGTGTTGCCTGTGGTCCATCTCTGGAAACTGGTGGTCCTACAACATGCCCAGTTCTTTGATTGCTTACAGAGGAATGATGAATCCAGTCGCTGTTATCCCATCTCAGCCGAAGGCAAAAGTATCAAATTGGCCTTTCAAAATCATAGGCCTGATTGAACGCAACGGCAAGTTACTGACAACTTTTAAGAAGGAAATTGCCGAGTTGGATTTGAACTTTGGAATGGTTACTCTAGCTACAAGCTAGTAAAAAATCCTAGGAATTGCCACTGGAGTCTTCAAGGATTTTTATTGATTCATACCTTAGATTTAGACCTATCTATCTTGAATAAGTTTTTGTGAATGGAGAAAGGTGTATGTCCAGTTTCAGTGTTTTTGTTTTTTTTGGGGAGGGGTTGCAGTTTTTGGCCGGGGCTGGGTTTGATCTCACCACCTCCTGTATATGGGGCCAGCACCCTACTCCTTGAACCACAGGCGCTGCCCCCAGTTTCAGCATTTTATATGTGGTTATCCAGTTCTCCCAGCACCATTTATTGAATAGGGAGCCTTTCCCCCAGTGAATGTTCTTGTTTGATTTGTCAAAGATCAGGTGGCTGTAAGATTTTAGTTTCATCTCATGATTTTCTGTTCAATTCCAGATGTCTATGTCTCTATTTTTGTGCCAATACCATGCTGTTTTGATCACTATGGCCTTGTAGTACAGCCTGAAGTCTGGTAGGCTAATGTCTTAAGCCTTGTTTTTATTACTAAGAATTGCCTTAGCTATACGGATTTTTTCTGGTTCCATACAAAATGAAGAATTATTTTTTTCCAAATCTTGAAAGTATGATGTTGGTATTTTAATGGGGATTGCATTGAGTTTGTAGGTTGCTTTGGGAAATATAGACATTTTAACAATGTTGATTCTTCCCAGCCATGAGCATGGTATGTTTTTCCATTTGTTAATCTCTTCTGCTATTTCTTTTCTTAGGATTTTGTAGTTTTATTTATAGAGGTCCTTCGCCTCTTTTGTTAGGCGTATTCCCAGGTATTTTGTTTTCTTTGAAGTTACTGAGAAGGGAATTGTGTCCTTGATTAGCTTCACTGCAGTGACAATTGCAACAACAACAAAAATAAACAAATGGGACTTAATTAAACTGAATGGCTTCTGTACAGCTAAGGAGACAACAACCAAAGCAAACAGACAACCATCAGAATGGGAAAAGTTATTTGCATATTATAAATTGAACAAAATCTTGATAATTAGAATCTACAGAGAACTCAAATTAAGCAAGAGAAAAAAGCCAACATCCCTTATATCAATGGGCAAGTGAGATGAATAGAACCTTCTCTAAAGAAGACAGACAATGGCTAACAAGCATATGTAAAAATTCTCATCATCCCTAATTATCAGAGAAATACAAATCAAAATCACCCTGAGATATCACCAATGAGAATGGCCCACATCACAAAATCTCAAAACTGCAGATGCTGGCATGGATGTGGAGAGAAGGGAACACTTTTACACTGCTGGTGGGACTGCAAACTAACACAACCTTTTTGGAAGAAAGTATGGAGAACCCTGAAAGACCTCAAACTAGACCTCCCATTTGATCCTGCAATCCCATTCCTGGGCATCTACCCAGAAGAAAAAAAAAATCATTTTATCATCAGGACATTTTCACTAGACTGTTTATCACAGCTCAATTTACAATCACCAAAATGTGGAAACAGCCTAAATGCCCAGCAATCCAGGAATGGATTAAAAGCCATGGTATATGTATACTACAGAATACTATATGATCACTAAAAATGATGGTGACTTTACATCCTTTGTTGTATTACTTTGGATAGAGTTGAAATACATGCTTCTTAGTAAAGCATCACAAGAATGGAGAAGCAAGAATCCAATGTACTCAATTCTGATATGAGGACAACTGATGCTAGTACATGGGGGGGGGAGAGGCAAGGAGGGAGGGGGGTGTGGGGCCACGGTGTATAACATGCCTCCACTTCCCCCAGCAAACGCAAGCAGTGTAACCTGGCTCATCGTAACCCTCAATGATTCCCCAACAATAAAAAAAAAAACAATCCAAGGAAAACAATTTGAACATATTTCCAAGGTAAATTTTGGCAAAATTTGAGTAGCTAGAGTGGGATAAAGGAATTCACTTGGCTTTTCCTTCCTGGGCACCCCTGTCTAGGGCATTCTGTCATCCGTAGGCCAAGGGTGCGTTCTTAATACAGAAGGCCAGCAGTCCATCCCCTTGTTGTCTCCATGAGTACAGAGTGAAGCCCTGGAGTCCCAAACAGACCCCCCTAGAAATATGACCCATCTTTTCATCCATATACTCAGGAATTTGGGTCATTTTTGTCCAAGAGGGTACCCAGGACAGGCTCCCAGTGACAAGTGCTGACAACCAGGGTTCATGTCCTGAGTTGACAGTTAATTAGCTATGGCATCATGAGTGCATCAATATAATCCTGAGTAGAATGTGGTTTTGAGACTATAATCCCCTTTCCCTCCAGAAAGTCCCTAAACATGGCCTGGCATGCTTAAGCCGGAGGAGGTACTGAGCCACCGGTAAGTTTAACTGCCTTAAACACAAACTCCTGCCCTGCTCACAGACTGACCAAGGGTGGACAGGTGCAGTGGCTAACTGCCATAAAATATCTACGTAAACTAGGAGTAAAACATATATCAAGAAGAAGTGGCAATTATAACTCTTGATGAAATGCTAAAATCATTTGTAATAAAATCAGGAGCAAAGTGCGGCATTGACTGTTATCACCATTGTCGACATAGTTTCAGAGGGTCTGCCAAATGTAATATGTCAAGAAAAATAGACAATTCTATAAACATTGAAAGGAAGATATTGTCATTTTTTTCCCCTGATAGGATTGCATATCTGCAAAACTCCAGAAATTCTAGTTAAAAATCAATTAAATTTGCTGCAGATGCTAGCATATCAGACAAATACTGCTTTAAAAAAACAATAGATTGTCTCTGTACTAGTCATTCCAGTTAGAAATGAAAGTGAGGGGGCAGTGCCTGTGGCCCAGTGGGTAGGGCACCAGCTCCATATACCAAGGGTGGCGGGTTCAAACCCGGCCCCGGCCAAACTGCAACAAAAAAATAGCAGGTGTTGTGGGGGGCGCCTGTGGTCCCATCTACTCGGGAGGCTGAGGCAAGAGAATCACTTAAGCCCAAGAGCTGGAGGTTGCTGTGAGCTGTGACATCACAGCACTCTACTGAGAGCGACAAAGTAAAACTCTGTCTCTAAAGAAAAAAAAAAGAAAGAAAGAAAGAAATGGATTGAGTAGAAAGCATTCCCTTCTCATAGGTAAAAAATAGGTAAAATACTTAGGAGGAAATCAAACAAGAAGAAAAAAATAAGGTCTCCAAGCGCTGGCCCCTCCAGTCACATATTCAGCACAAGCCTGACAGTCGGTGGGCTCAGGAGCTCCCATCGGGACGCAGGAATTTCTGCCTTGGTGCGTGAGGCTGTTCAGCCTGCAGTCCTTTTCTTCCTTTTCTTACTCGTACACAATCCATCCTTAAAAATACAGTGCAAAGCTCTTCTCCTCTGATACCTTTCCCTATCTGTAAGTTCATCCTCTTTGGGTGAACTACTTTGGAGGAGGAAGGGAAAGATTGAAAGAGGGGGAAAGAGGAGGGAGGAATAGGGAAGGGGTTGGGGGGCAGGGAGAATGGAAGGAGGGGGGAAAATAAATGAGATTTAAACAAGTGCTAGGGAAACTGTATGTCAGAGCGGGTGTTGTTTGACGCCCATGCCTCTCGTACCCCTCCTCCCCTTCCTGCACACCCAACCTGTCACCTCTCCTGGGATCTAACTCCTTGGTGACTTGTGTCCAATTTCAGAGTTAGACATCAAAGATGCAATCGCCCTAGAGTCCATCATGCAGCGGCCAGCCTCGCACCGTCGACAAAGCAGTGGCTTAGATCCCGCGGTACAGGAAAATATCTTTGGCCGGAGGCCGACCTTCCTAAGAGAGTGGACCAGCAAGACAAGTGACCCCAGTTACGAACGCAAGCTGAAGAACCTCATGGAGAAAGGCATGGAGCCCAAGGTGGAGACGGCGAAAATGCTTAAGCCAGAGGAGGTGCTGAGCTGCCGGTAAGCAGCCCAGCTGGCTGGGGGTGGTGCGTTGCAGGAGAACAGGCTTGGATTTCAGGGACCCCTGGCTGGGACACCTGGGTGGGGCCTGGAGATCCGTGTCTAAGCTCTGTCCTACCTTGGGTCACAGTAGCCGAAAGGCTGCTCCAGGGCTGAAGCCATTGGCTTTGCCCGCAGCTCCCCTGCCATCGGCCCAGGGCCTGAGTGGGTTTGTCATTCAGGTGCTGCCATTTTGTCACCACGTGGTCGGACACTTTCCGAACCCTCCCAGTATTTCCATTTGTTTCACAATAGAAACTTGGCTCTTCTTCAAAAAAGGAAAGAATGAGTTATTTGTGGCCTTGTTCCAACAGGAAGTCCCCCCTAAGACCCTCACACAGCGGCCACCACCCCCAGCTTTGGGGGGCTTTACACTTTCAAAGGGATCGTGAACAAGGGACGGAACCATGTGATGGTTCCTGCTCTCACCAACGGTCTCCTCTGTCCTGTGTGTCAGGGTCTGTTAGTTTTCAGTGACACTAAGCAGTTGGTCCCCATCCCCCCCAAATCCAAGATCTCTCTCCCTAGCCCTTGATTGTAAAAGTGCAACTGACAAACTCAGAAACTTCAGCAGCAGAAGAGGAAAAACAGAATAACGCAGTCACAGTCCTTGTAAAACGGAGAGCAGCGAACTCATCTGCAGATTTAACACAGCCTCAGACCCCCAGCCATCAAATGGCCCCGTGGCAAATCCTGCCCTGCTCACAGACTGACCGGGGCAGGGGTGGACATGTGCAGTGGCTAACTGCCTTCAACACAAACTCCTGCCCTGCTCACAGACTGACCAGGGTGGGGGTGGACAGGTGCAGTGGCTAACTGCCTTCAAC